GAGGAATTCTAGGCAGAATATCTTTTTAAAAAAAAAATCTATCCTGTTTATTAAGTAGTTAAATTTATCTTTGTATTTACCATACATTTTACATTAGTCTGTGTTAGTGGCTTTACTCAGTATTGTAACCAAATAGAGCATCCCATTAACTACTTTTACTATAGACAGTAATACCCTCTGTTGAAATTAGTTTACACCTTAGCCGTTTTCAATTGTACAGTGCATTTAGTCTTAGGCTGTTTTGTTGTTCCCTTTTTCTTGTTACAAAGTCAGGGGCCAGTCTGAACCTGGAAAAGTCTTGGAGAACACATCTTGAGATAATAGGCTTGAGTCTGAAGTGGGAGGGCCAATACTATCTCCAGTGTCAGCATCTCAGTAAGCTCAAACAGCACATGACAATTTACCAACATAATTAATACAAAAAGGCATTTTTCTCTAGCCTAAAAATTTTGAATTGTTTATCCGTATTTTACTTTTAAACTAAGGCAAGACTGTTAACTCGCATGGTGAATTCCTTTGAAGAGGGCTGTCAGTCTGGATTGGAAAAAACATTTTATAATTTATTATACATGATCTTGGAGATTAAGTACCCATGACCTGGGGAATAAGAAACACAGAAAACAGTGGTACCTAAAAGAAAATGTAAAGAGAAAATATCATAATACTCTTCTTTTTAGTCTATGACATTGTAACTAGAAGGTACCCAGGGAATGTGGCAGGGACAAAAGCAAGCATACAGCAACTGAGCATCAGAGAGGGACATACTCTATTCCAGAGAAAAACAGGCTTAGAATCACAATGCAGAAAAGGGAGCAATTGGGACCAGTGGAGTCCGCATATTAAGTCTCCCATCCAAGTAGGCTATCCCTTTTAACCTCTCATTGTTGTAACTATGTGTTGATAGTAGCTTGTCTCCCATGGGCTCCAGTAGCTGCCGCTGTGGTGCACCCCCGGAGGGGGGAGAAAAGGCCATGACCCATGCTTTGCGAGCCCTCAATGCGAGCCAGCCACCATCCAGGTGATCTGGGTGCGCGCAGCACGAAGGCATGTCCCCCCAAGGGGAAGCCTGCAGGGGCACGGAGGACTACAGAAGAAATCCCTCCACATGGGGCGGTCCTCTCAGAAGAGCCCTTTCCCCAAGAAAAAGCTTATGGAAAAAATGGCTTTTAAAATCTTTTTTCCAGTTTGTCTATGATGGAAGCCACCTTAAATTCTTTAAGTGCTTCGGGCCACCCACTGTTTTAAATCCCTTGTTGTTTTTTTTTTCATGTTACTGGGCAGTCTGATTTAAATTCTCACCCAATTGGTTTACTTTTATGGGGCACTTGGAGCCTGAGTACCTTTTTCTCCCAAGGCAGGTCAATTTAAATTCTTACCTAACTGGTTTAGCTTGAGCCTGAGTGCCCCAGGGGTGAGATAACAAAACAGATAAGGAAGTTTGTTATCTTAGAAGTTGAATTCAATGCTTGTGTGAAAATCCCTTCATGTTAGAACTTTGGGGATTTTTTGTTTCTAGGGATGTTGTTCAAGATAGAAAAGGAAAGGGGGTGACATGCTGATTCCTAGGGGAACATTCCTGGGATCAAAGGCCTCAGGGTATTCCTCTTAGTCTACAGTGCAAGCCTGTCCACAGGATTAAGAGAACTGGAGACCCACTCTAAGAGCATTGAACTGGTCATTGTGTGACCAGGTTTTTGCATTAGAAAGATGTATAGATAAGGGGTCTTCATGGGAGTCAGTTCAGAGGATTAAGAGCCTTTGGCTAACATCAGGGAGTAACCCTGATTCAAAAGCTTCAATTGCTCCTTTGTCTTTAACAGTTCCACCTGAAGACTCAGACTGAAAATAAAAGGAGGAAAGAGGAGAGACTGCTGATCCTCAAGAGTGGGATGGCCAAGGCAAAGCTGCTGCTACCCTCTTGGAAAGAGTGGGTAGTCACAAACTCCGTGTGTTCCAGGAGCCTCATGTTTGGGCACCAGCTGTGGGTCTCTCCCTCCCCTTGTGGGCCGCTGGCCACCCACCCATGAGAACAAAGGGAGCAGAAGTGATGAACAGGGTCAGGATGGCCAGTGAACATGATGGAAAAGACCTTCTGGGGTGTCAGATTCAGTGATATGGCTCCGTTTATTCAGTGGGGGTAGGGAAAAATATAGTGTGGAGGCAGCAGCCAAATCTTCAGCTGATAGGTGTTCATAGTATGCTTTATTTACATGTGGTAGGGGGATCCTATCATCTGGCTATAGGGCAATGCCTAATTATCATATAGAAAAAACCTGGGGGCAGTTTTATTGCAAGTAACTATGCCAAAGGTCATGTTCCAAATAAGGTCAGGCATCCGTGCTTGGAGGCACTTTCCAGATAAGTCAGGCAGGAAGCCCCTGCTGAGAAAGGAGTCGACCTTAACAGCAGGGTTCCCCAACATTTGGGTACCTAGAAAGTGAGTCACGTAGCTTTTTAAATTTCATAGTCAACTGCTTTTCTCCAAAGCTGTGGGTAAACTTGGCATTTTTATGAAGATTAGACATGGACATGGAGCTCTTCCGTTATCCTAAAGGCAGATACTTCCACGCTTAGAGCTGACACTGTAGACAGGTCTACATGTTTTATCTAACCGTTGATTCAGAAGCTAACTTTGTCTTGTTATGAGGCTGTCACCTATAGGTACTATTCACTATAGTTTCTAACATTGTCTTGTATTCACTGCTCAGTGGGTAAAATGGGAGACATGGGAAAACACTCTGTTATGTGGCATGTAGGAATTTGAAGGCACAGATTTTAGTATGAGAAATGTATTTTTTCATATTTGTGTTTCCTTTTATGCCATATATATATAGAAACAAACAGCATAAGCTAACTTTAACCTCACCTCTTGTTCCAATCACCTACTACCATTTAATCAATCTTGATTATCACTGCAAGATGGATTTTCTCAATCTTTCTCAACCACTGATCCTCTTTTCATAAAAGCGAACCCTCTTTAGACTGTCATTTGAAGATTTAGTGATGTGAATTCAACATTTCCTGAATAATACCTGCCAACATTAACCTTCAGAAAAAGCAGACTATTTTCTCCATATCCTAAATAGCATTGCCCTATGCTTCCTACTTTGGGAATTTTTTTATTTTAGTTTACTTTTTATGTCTCATTATGTAGCCCAGGTGGCACAGTGAACTAATAGTCAAACTAATAGTCCTCCTGCCTTCAGGTTTCTAGTTCTCAGATTACAGGTGTGTGCCACCATGTTTAGGGGGTGTCTTTGTGTGTGTGTACATGTGTGTAATTGTTGTTTCCTCATGGTAATGTCAGTAGAGATTGAACCCAGGACCTCATGAATGCTAAGCAAGCACTCTGATACTAAGCTACATCTCAGAATGCCTGGTTATATATCTCTCTTAATCTGAACACGTCTTCTCCATTTTTATCTACCTATCTAAATCCTTCCATTTTCAGCTAAATCATTCACTAACAGAAAAACTTTAAACCTTCTCCAGTGGCCCATGTGACCTCTCCCTTCCAGAGTGAACTGTGTGGGACACTGTTGACATCTCTCTCTCTAATCTCTGTCTAGCTGGTGTGCAACCCTACCAGCATCATTGGCTGTAGCCATTTCTGTCTCTTTCACTTGTCACTTTGCCTAAATTTACATTGTGTCTCCCATAATAGAGCTTAAGTTCCAGAAGAGGGGCATGTCCTGCCTCTGTCTGCACTCATGAGAAGTACTTGTTGGGTAGATGAACAATCTATTTCTCAGGAATCTTTACAATGAGAGCCAAGTCAGTGTTCTATAAAGAGCAGTAGTTAATATTTCCGTTTTTTTTTTTCTTTTTAGCCATACTGCCCATAGCTTCCAGCTGTTGCACTGAAGTTTCACATCATATTTCCAGAAGGCTTCTGGAAAGAGTGAATTTTTGTCGCATCCAGAGAGCTGATGGGGACTGTGATTTGACTGCTGTCATGTGAGTGCTCTTAAGTGGGGCATTTCTTGTAATAGCATGAGAGGCACAGAGGAACACCAGATAGTGATGATTGACTCGGGAGTCTTTTATTAGCAGGAGGTCAGAGAGGGCACTAATGACCAAAAGAACCCTTGACCCCAAGGGGAGACAGAGGGGGGTTTATAAACCTTAAAACCAGAGTTAAATTATGCCAGGATCAAAGCCAATAACCATAGTTACATCAGGTCACCATAGTTACACAAGACCAGGGGCAGGTCAGTTAACAAAAAGTTTTCAGTTAACAAAAAGTTTTGGCTAGGAAAACAAGTGTCTCAGAATTGCAGAAAGAATGGACTCCATGGAGATGCAGATATAGCTGGGTGGGAGGATGTGCTACCTGGGTACTTTTAAGTTTCCCAGTGTTGTAGAAACAGTATATTCCCTGAAACTGCCTGCATGAGATGTTCTGCCTGGTGGCTGCAATGGGAATGGCTGGGTAAAATTACAGGGTAAAGCAAAAGCCAGATAGAACAAAATGTAGTTTTGCCATTTCAGTATAACTGAATGCTGATGATTTCCTGATTATTTCCCCTGACAACAAACAATAGCTTGAAATGCTTTGCCTGATAGACAATCTACAAATCATTCAAATAAGGGTAGGAAGAGTAATTCTTCTGTCCTTTGAACCCGAGGCTACCTGGAGTAGATGCACAATCTCTCTGTATAGGAATGTACAGACCTCTACACTTGCTCTCCAGCCTTTCCTGTCCCCCAGTGACTGTACTTGTCACAGTACTATACAAAATCCAATTGCAAATTGGTTTCTGCATTGGTTTCTGGAGTGTTGGCTCATGGTGAACCTTCCTGCCCCTCCTGCCCCTTCCACTACATTCTAGGGTCGGTCCTGTAAGACAACAACTGTTTGGGAGAAGGCATAAACTATCACCCTGACACATACTGAAGAGAGCTGTGAATGAAGTTACACAGTTCCTCTGAAGGAGTACTGCTGGTGAATGGCAGAAATGGAATGTGCACACGGTTCCCTTGGTTAAGAATACTTTATATCTCCAAGGTCATTCAGAAGGAATGGTGGGGCTAACCATAACATGTTCACCCAAGGTCAGGTATGGTAGAACATTACTGTAGTTCTAGCATTCAGGAAGCTGAGGCAGGAGGACCATGAGTTCAAGGTCAGCCTGAGCCATACAGTGATACCCTGTCCCAAACTTCCGTTGTATCAAGTGAAATATCTTCCTGGCATGCAGGATTGAACACTACTTATGCATCTGGGCGATGCTACTGAGTCATTTGGCATTCCTTTCTTTGGACTATAAATAACCCCGTTGTTTATGCCTTATTTCCTGAGTCACTCAGGAACCTGTTGTTCCATCAACAAATTTCACAAATATTTATTAGTTAGTGATTATGTATTAAGCACTATTCTGTGAGCTGAGGGTGCAGCAGTGACTCAGTGGTATCTGCCTTCCTCAAGCCTCCAAGAGACTTTTTATCCAGCTGAGTTCTGTGGGCCATTTCTGGTGATTTGAATTTCTTCTGAGATCACATGCACACTTTTTCCCAAGAGAAAAGGAAAATGCACTTTTTAGCTTGAAGCATATGCCAAGCTATTGCTGTTTTATTATTAGAAGAATGAGAGGGGGCTGGAGAGATGGCTCAGTCGTTAAGAGCACTGGCTACTCTTGCAGAGGACCTGAATTCAATTGCCAGCACCCACATGGGGGCTAGCAACTGTCTGTAACTCCAGTTCCAGGGAATCTGTCACCCTCTTCTTACCTCTGTGGGCATTGCACGACACAGGTGCACTTACACACATGCAGGCAATATACCCATACATATAAAATAAAAATAATAAGTAAATTTTTTTAAAAAGAAGAAAGAGAATGGATATTGAGGAGAATTAGCATGTGCGTGCACACGCACACACACACACACACACACACACACAGAGAGAGAGAGAGAGAGTCAATTTCAGAAGATCCTGTTTACTGCTCAATTTTGAGAAATACTGGTCTAAAACAAAGGATTATTAAATGTCAGAGCAAGAGGTTTTTTGTTTTGTTTTATTGTTGTTGTTTTAGTCTTTTTGAGACAAGGTCTCCCTGTAGCCCCAGCTGGCCTAGAACTCCCTATGTAGACCAGGCTGGCCTTGAACTCACTGAGATCTGTCTGCCTCTGCCTCCTGAGTGCTGGGATTAAAGGCATGTGCCACCATGCCCAGCTTAACAGACTAGTTTTTTAATTAAAGGGAATTATGAAGCCAATCATTGTTTCTAAAACTATTTAATAAATTAAAGCACAAGTGAGTAAATTGAACTCTTTGTGATGATAAACAAGTTAAAAAGAGCACAGTTGTGAATTGGTGTCAGAATTAGATTCTGTTTTATTTTTTAATCATAAGGTACAGATTCTCTCTGTTATATTTTCTGATGTTTAACCTAAAAGTCTTAAATACAAGTTATTTTACTAGAAAGCATATCTGTATTTGTTCAAAATGTAGTCCTTTAACCCAGGAAAAAAATATATATTATATTTATATATAATATATATTTTAATATATAAGAGTTTAAGTTCGAGACCAGTGTTTAAGATTCAGAAAACATTGCTGTGTTCAAATTCCAAGTATTATATACTATAAGTCACAGCTAATTAATTAATTAATTGATATAAATTAACTTACAGTTAACTCACTAAGCTTCTTCCCTCCCTTTTCTACCTGAAAATCAGTCTTTTGTTTTTGACCCCAATAACAGTCATTGTGATTTTTTCGATGCCTAAAATAACAGTTTGCTTGTTTAAACCTCTCTGCAGTAACTTCATTAAAGAAGTCCTGGCTGTTTCTAACCATGAACACAATGAAAAATTGTTGTCTTTGGCAGAAGACTGGGGTTTTTTGCATCACACAGAAGTATTTGTTGGGAAGAAAATTTCGGGTTTTTCAATAATATTATCCAGAAGTGGTTGTCAAGTGCTGCTTTCAGGAACAGGTCAAGAAATAAAGTTTAGAAAACAACCCCAGGTATAATTTCCAAAGCAGGGCCACTGTTCATATTCATTGGGCTATTTGTAACCATCCTGTAGTACAGAAAGGAATCAGGGAATCTATCTTGTTTTTTAGTCAAAACTCTCCCTCTAGAAATTCACAATGAGGGTGGACCAGTGCCTGCTAGGGATTAAGTTGGGAGTTGCTGAGGGAGTGTGGAAGGCGGTACCTCCTTTCTCAACATTACCTCATCTCTTTTATCATAATGGAAAACACATTGAGATACAATTGAATTTCAGCATATTCTACACCTGAGGATTCTGAGCACCATCACAGAATTCATTGAAAAGCTGAGGCCTTACCAGGCAGGCCTTAAAAAGGGGTCCTACGTGGTAGCTGGTGCCTATGGTCCTCCACCTCTCTGCCTTTAGCTCCCACACAGTTACCTCTTTCTCTTCTGCTACAGAGCAGAAGTTCCCTAGAGCTGATCACTCATCATTTTAATCATAGAGTTGAGTCCTCGAGTGTGCTGTGTAACGGTGGCTTATCTGATGTGCATTGTTCTCTCCCTTGGAAAGGGTCGGAAGGAGCTTCAACTAGGTTTTTGGCTTTTCTGCTTTAGCAGCACTACAGCCAGGTTTTCTCCCATAGAAGCAAAGCAAGTGGCTATGTATTGCTTTAGTATTGAAGTCATCTCAGTAGAATATACTTAGAGAATGTACTGTCCTCTCTTAGGATGCGCACATCTTCAAATTGATATTCCTCTACAATCTGGCTTCTACAGTCTGGCTTTATTATGCTAAAGTTCACACACACCTTTTCATACTCTCCTCCAGTATTGAGTCCCCACATATCTGACAATGACGCAAAAATATTATACAGGTAAGCCAGCAGGATTTGCCACGTTTCATCAGATCTGCCTCGCACCTGATGGAGAGTTGTTAAGTCACACAATTTTCAGAACCAGAAATTCTAGTTATCCAAAGCTGTGAATGCTACTCTAGGGTTCTTCCACTCCAATGTCAATACTTCATATAGAAAAGTAAAAATGAGAACTAATTCTGGATAGTGGTATAGAACTATACTAAATTTTAATAGATGCCCAAAATATTTTAGTAGATTGTTTTATTGGCCAATTTTAATTTCATGTCTGTAATGATTTACTGAGTCCCTATTGTACATCAGGGCCTTTCATAATTATTTCTGGAGTATTCCTCCTTCAAGGAGCATTATTAAAAAAAGAGCCCATTACATCTGGTTTTACTGGATGAAGCCTGAATAAGGAAGAGAAATATTTTTCCTAAGTTTGTTATTGTTTCTCTTTTCCTCCCGCTTCTCCTCCATTCTTTCTCTTACTTTTCCCTTTTTCTCCTTCCCCTCATCCTCATTCAATTTCCTTTCCCCCTCCTCCTCTTTTTAATGCTTTCTGCTAACATCTGAAGACAACAGAGAGCAATGTGTAAAGATTTATCCCCCTGGTGTTCAGTTTGAAGATTCAAACCATAAGAATACGGTATCGAAGAGAGGGGGTCACCTACAAGTCACTAATTTTTTTTATATGTTTGCAATTTCTGTCTGTGATGGTTTTTCTTTCTTTCTCGGCAGCCTTCATATTAAACGCAGAAGGATCTGTGTCAGCCCACACAACCGTATTTTGGAGCAGTGGATGAGAGCATCCGCAGTGAAGAAAAATGGCCAAGGTAACATTTGCCATAAGAAGAAACACGATAGCAAGAGGAACAGTAAGGGGTACACCAGGGGAACGTATGAAGTACCCGGCCATAAACCTCCTCGTTAGAATCCACTCGTGAATCCAGAGATCATTCCTCAAGTGAACTCAGCCATAGTTGGTGAAAACTTTGTCATCTGAATCTTCCTCATTGACAGTCCACAGTATTGGCTTTTAAAATGAAGAATTACATCTAAGGATGTAAACTCAGTGCTAAAGCACTTCTGTAGCACAGGCAAAGCCCTGGGTTCAACCACTAGCAAACAAAAATTTGCACAATGTGCAAATATAGCGAATAGTACTTAACTAAAAATGAAATGAAAATATAAAACTCATCTTCATATAATTTTTAAAGGATAGTGTAGCTATAATTCCACCACGTTTTTTATTATGAAGTTTTTCAGTCCTGCAGAGAAGCTGAAGGAGCGATAAAAGAACAGCCTACACACCTGTCATCTAATCACTGTTAATAGTTTTTATATCTCTTCTCTGTTTGTATAAATGTGTTATATATACATATTAATAACCTGTTCACTAAACCATTTGAAATGAAGTTGCAAGCATCATGATATTTGTCTTTGTTTCCTGTTACTAAAAGAAAATGCCTGATGAGATCAGGTAACTTGTAAAGAATAAAAGATTATTTGGCTCAGGTTCATGAGGTAGGGAAGTCCAAAACATGGCACTGATATGACACATTTGGTTGGTATTTGGTGAGGACCTTTTTGCTGTATCTTAATGTGGTGAAGGAGAACATGTGGCAAGGCAGGGCAAATGCTCTAACTCAGGTCTCTCTTCCTTTTCTTGTAAACACTAATACCACCAGGGAAACTATACCCACATAACCTCATTGAACCTCAGTTACCTCCACATGCCAATATTTAAATTTGAGGATAAAGTTTCCAACACATTAACTTTTGTAGAACACATCCAAACCATAGCAACACATCACCACTGATTTCTTTCTCAAATTATAACTTGGTATCTCACAAGAATAACCAGATTTTCTATAATTGTGTGACTGGTTTTATACCAGGAAAATTAGCAATTTCATCTAGTCTATATTCAAATTACTTTAACTACTTCCAGACCATTTTATATGAACTTTTTTTCCAATCCAGGTTCACATATTTCCATTAATTTTTATGTTGTTTTAGTGCTTTCTAAAAAAGTTTCTCAACCTTTCTCTTCCCTCCCCTGCCCCCCTTCCTTCTGTCCTTCTTTCCCTCCTTCCATTCTTCCAAAGCGTGGACTTTAAGAAGGGGTAAAGATTAGGATTTGTTTTATGCTCTAGGTTTGTCTGATTGGGTCCTCATGATCACAGTCTGGTTTTTCCATTTCCAAGATTCCTCGGTGGAATGTGTACACTTCTTGTGCCATTTACAGTTACAAACATTACTTTCTAAATAGGAAAGTGTAAGCCAAGGAGAGGCTACTATTATCTTGTTTGGTAAATTCTAAAGCTAAAAAAATAATTTACCTTGCTACCCAGGAACTCCTCTCTCCTGTAATCAGCTGGAGTAGCATCCTCATTACAAATTCAGAGTTCAGTCCTGGAAGAAGTCTATGCTCTAAAGCACTCAGTCCACATTTCTCACATGTTGTGAGTTGATTCCCATTGGAGAAGGAGAAGGTCAGGCACATGACAAGAGCCTGTTTGTCATGACAACCATTAGAACAGGGACTATCAAGTATCAAGTGTCCTTGGCCTCCTGGGTAGACCCAGGCAGTAGCACTGCTAGGACAACATGGAGATATAAATGGAGCAAATAGACGTGAGGAACTTGGTATCAGTTAAAAATACCCTTTGTTCAATACCCCTCATTGAAGCTGATCTAGCATGTGGTATCACCAACAATCCTGCAGCTTTGTATTGATAGTTCTACTTTATGAATAAAGAAATCGAGGTTCAGAGCTCAAATGACAGTCCCAAGATCACATGGTAAGAGTAGAGACAAACTGTGTATCCAGATCTCTGGCCTCTCCCCAGTTCTCCTAGCAGGCCCAACAGTAGACTGAGATGGTGTGGACATAGAGATCTGAGGATAGAAAGAAAATCAGATGGAAATCTGTCACTGGTATTTCCAAAGGGTGAGGAGATACCTGCTGAATTTCAGCCACTTTCATAGACCAAAATAGACCCCAACCAGAACTGGAGGAGTTTCACATACTTCTGCAGTGGAGGAAATCACAAAATATTTATAGCCTTTGGTTTGCAAAATATTTTTCATCAAGTTCTTCTTTTGAACTTATCATCAGATTTTGCCAGTTTATACAAAGAAGTAAATGCTAATACGCTTATGGCTCCAAATTACGAAGTGTCTAGGTCTACGTGACGTTAAGCAGGACAGCTGAAGGGGCCCTATTGGAATTAAAAATAAGACTTTCCTGCCAGAGACCAAAAAGAAGCAGTAAGTGTGCCATCTTTATTCCTTCTCAGTGGCACTTTATTCCCTGTCAGGGTCCCTTACACTGCCATGATAAAAGTGCATTTCACAAGCATAGTGATATCAGGACAAGATCAGATCTAAAAGAGTCAGACCTAATAGGCTTATAAGCCTTCAACTATACCCAAGGAGGGATTTGTTTTATCACAGTCTCTAGTCTAGAAGTCTGAAACCAAGGTATTGGCAGGTGTGGTAACTTCTGATGGCTGAGTGAAGGATCTATTCCAGGCCTGTCTTCTTGGTTTATAGATGACTGAAAACTGTTTTCTCTCAATGGCTTTTTTGGGGGTGAGGGGGAGTTGGGGGAGGCATTCAAATTCAGCAAGTGTTTATAGAATGCCTTTTATGTGCTAAATATTGTTCCAGGCACTTGGGATACATAACAGATGAAAACAAAGAGTGCTGCCCTTGTGGAGCTTACACTCTGTCATTTATTACCATTTCACCATTGCACTCTTGTGACCTCAGGCAGGTCACCATACCTCTCTGTACCTGTCACGAGCTGCCCAATGAAGAAGCAAGCAGACCAGGCTCGGACTGGACAACTGAACCTGATTTGCTGCAGATAGGACACCTGCCCTTACTTGATTTTTTTTTGGAAATTGATTTTTAATAATAAAGTACATGGAGCAAAGGGACAGGGAGCTAAACTGCTCTGACTGGCAGGCTACACTAACTGATGCCACTGCTGTTGCTGCTGTTCAGTGGCAATCTTGATGATGAGGTCCTTGGCTTTCTCTGTAGCTGCTAGTACCACCTCCTTTGCTTTATCCTTGGGCTCTGGATATCTTAACACATTTTGGGGACAGTGCCTCAACTTGTAGCTTGCCAAGAAGTACGCATAACCCTTTAATGTATGGGTTACATTTACTCTTGAACTGGAAAGACCAAATTCCTGGACAGCTCTGGAAACACAGACCTCCCTGAGGATTTCTCATTGGCAGTGTTGTCAGAATTCATATGGTAAATATATTGTTATTCTACCACCATCATCCGGGCATGATTGGTATTCCAGATGAAGGTGGTCATGGTGTGATTCTGGGAGTCCACAGTAGTGTCCAAGATGCACAGCCAGTGAGCAACATTGGCAGGAAACAGGCATCCCATCCAGCAAGGCATACTGCTGGTCTTGGTCAGAAGTCTCACGCACAAAAGTTCCTGGTTGGGGTAGTCTCCCCTGCTGTCTTCAGTCAAGACATGTTTGCTGTAGGGATTCAGGAACCACTGCCAAAAGGAAGTGAACACTTGGTTGCAGGAACTTTGGAGCACTCTCTGGCCCATGAAATAATTCACCAAGGTCCGGGGCTGGATGCAGCATCAGAAGTGTGGAGCCCTGGGGCCAGAAGCCTCAGAGGACTTGCAGCTCACTCACCACTGTGCACCCAAGCTGCTACCATCACCACGAGGGTGGTACAGCCTGCCCAGTGTATCTTTATATCATCTTTTCTCTTTGCCTTTGTGTCCAAATCTCCCTCTCAATTTTGTAATAAAGACAATACTATTCTGGATTAGGTCCAATCCTGATGACCTCATCTTACATCTGCAATGACCCTATTTCCAAATAGAGTCACACTTCAAAGAACTGGAGATTAGAACTTCACTGAAGAATTTGGGTGCAGAGACAATTCAGTCTGTCATAGGGAGTCTAAGGAAAGTGAGAATGGGCAAGGAGTTAATCTTTGAAGTTCATGATCAGGAGAATGGACACAGCACTACCCCTAACATACCATTAGCTAGTATTAAGACATTATCATCCCGACTTCCAGAGCAAAGGTCAATGCACCCAGCTATTGCTGTTTCATTACTGGAAGAAGAGGGAGTGGATGTTGAGGACAATTGTCAGCTTCGGATACACTGGAGGTTTTCTTTTCCCCCCTTTTAGAGACAGGGTCTCTCAGTAGTCCCAGCTGGCCTGGAACTCACCATGTAGACCAGGCTGGCCATGAACTCACAGAGATCCACTTGCCTTTGCCTCCTGAGTCCTGGGACTAAAGGCGTGTGTCACCACACCTGGCCACTAGAAGTTTTTAAAAAATATTTATTGTTATTTTATGTGTGTCTTTACCTGCATGTGGGTGCACCTGCAGAGCCCAGAAGGCATCAGATGCTCTGTAATTGGAGTCACAGACAATTGTGAACCACCATATGGGTGCTGGGAACTGAACCTAAGTCCTCTGCAAGAGCAACAAGTGCTTTTAACTGCTGAGTCATCTCTCCAGCCCCACATAACAGTTTTCAAAAACTTCGTGAAGCAGAGAACTAACTCCTTCCAAATGATAGTAAGTGCTGTTTTGTTTTGAATAGCATAGATCATACAAGAAAAGTCAAATGTTGTATTTGTTCTCAGAATAACCCTGAAAGTCATTTCCCCCTAGGTACTATGAAAGGGAACACCAGGACTAGACAGATTAAAGAACTTACTTAGACTTAGAGTCAAACCTATTAAGTGGTAGAGCCTGAAATCCAACTGAGGATTTTGTTAGCACCAAACCCTAACCCATTTCTCTGAGCCATGTCACGTACAATGTCAAGCAGCTCTCCAGCAGGTTTATCATCATTCTGGTTAGTGACTTGAAGAAAGTGTCTTTTAGAATATCCCCATTCCTGCCAGGGTGGTTATACCATTAAAAAATGAGACCTTGAAGAAGTGACTAGATAGCCAGGCGTGGTGGCACATGTCTTCGATTCCAGCACTTGGGAGGCAGAAGCAGGCAGATCTCTGTAACATCGAGGCCAGCCTGGTCTATATACAGAGTATGGGCCAGCTGGGGCCACAGGGGGACCTTGTCTCAAAAAGACCAAAAAGAAAAGTAACTAGATTAAAACTGCTATAGAAGAAGTAGGTTAATATCACATGAAGGGGCTCCTAATAACAGTGACTTTGACATGATTTTTCTCTGTCTCATGTACTTCCTCATTGATGATACCCTCTGCCATGTTATAGCACCTCAAGGATGCCCTGCCCAGATGCCAGTTCCATGTTCTTGAATTTTTCAGCTTCTAGAACTATAAGAAATAAATCTCTGTTCTTCATAAATTACCAGCAAGATGGTTAGTTTTGCTTGTCAGTTGACACAATGTATTCTTAATTAATAAATTGTGTGTGTGTGTGTGTGTGTGTGTG